GCTCCTCAACTGCTGACAGCACTTGCCCCGACGGTCTGTGTGGGCTACGCGGGGGACCTTTGCCCGTGTCGTGTGCGAGAACCGGAGCCGGAGTCTCCGTTTCACCGGAACGCGGATTCGGTGCTGACTCACCGCACCGGTGGCTGGTACCGCGTCTACAGGAAGTGTGCACGCCATTGATTGGGCAGTGTACCAGTGTCTCTGTGTGTGTGTACGAGTGTGTGTGTACTAGTGTGTGTGTGCTAGTGTGTGTGTACGAGTGTGTGTGTACTAGTATATGTGTACCAGTGTGTGTGTACTAGTATATGTGTACTAGTATATGTGTACTAGTGTGTGTGTACTAGTGTGTGTGTACCAGTGTGCGTGTACTAGTATATGTGTACCAGTGTGTGTGTACTAGTATATGTGTACCAGTGTGTGTATACAAGTGTGTGCGTACTAGTGTGTGTGTACAAGTGTGTGTGTACTAGTGTGTGTGTACTAGTGTGTGTGTACTAGTGTGTGTGTACTAGTGTGTGTGTACTAGTGTGTGTGTAGCGGTTGGCACGTTGCGCCATGAACCCCGGCGACCCGGGTTCGATTTCCGCTCATGGCCAACAGCAGTGACGATTATCTGAACCGGTCATGGGCCTCACCTAGGTCAACTCAGCCTCAAATGAGCACCTGGTGCAATGTGTAAATATCGCCACTGGGGAGACAAAGGCGGTCGGGCGTGGTGCTGGTCACCCACCCCCTCGTGTACCGTTCCGGCCTTCATAGGTGCTCGCTAACAGCACTTGCCCAAGAGTCTGTTCAGCCTGTCGGGGGGACCTTTGTCTTTATATCTCCATGGGTTTCCCCTTCACTGTACTTTCGACGCCGTGGGAACGAATTAGGCCCTGTAACGCGCATTTCCTTAACTCGCTTAACGACCAAATCGCTTAACAGCCAGTTCCCGTCGCTATCGGGGGTTTCTGCCGTCGACATCGAGTTTACACATCCCACCAGCCTCCAACTCGGACCGCAGTCCGGCACTCGCGTGTCTCTCGTCTACTGCTGCTACTACGACTGCTACCGCCGCCGTGGTTGCTGCTCCCTTGAACCTCACTCAGAGATTCCTCCACCTGCATCGAGGGCTCGGTCCCGGACCAGGCTCCGTGCACGATTTTTCCAATTTCCCGGGGACCCCCCGGCCTGCAGCGGTTGGCCCCGCCCTGCAGCGGTTGGCCCCGCCCTGCAGCGGTTGGCCCCGCCCTGCGGCGGTTGGCCCCGCCCTGCGGCGGTTAGCTCCGCCCTGCGGCGTTAGCCCCGCCCGCCCTGCGGCGGTGAGCCCCGCCCTGCGGCGGTTGGCTCCGCTCTGCGGCGGTTGGCCCTGCCCTGCGGCGGTTACTCCACGCTGCTGCGGTTAGCCCCGCCCTGCAGCGGTTGGCCCCGCCCTGCGGCGGTGAGCCCCGCCCTGCGGCGGTGAGCCCCGCCCTGCGGCGGTGAGCTCCGCCCTGCGGCGGTTACTCCGCGCTGCTGCGGTTAGCCCCGCCCTGAGGCGGTTGGCCCCGCCCTGAGGCGGTTGGCCCCGCCCTGCGGCGGTTGGCCCCGCCCTGCGGCGGTTGGCGCCGCCCTGCGGCGGTTGGCCCCGCCCTGCGGCGGTTGGCCCCGCCTTGCGGCATTAGCCCCGCCCTGCGGCGGTTGGCCCCGCCCTGCGGCGGTTGGCCCCGCCCTGCGACGGTTACTTTGCGCTGCTGCGGTTAGCCCCGCCCTGCGGTGGTTAGCCCCGCCCTGCGGCGGTGAGCCCCGCCCTGCGGCGGTTGGCCCCGCCCTGCGGCGGTTACTCCGCGCTGCTGCGGTTAGCCCCGCCCTGCGGCGGTTAGCCCCGCCCTGCGGCGGTTGGCCCCGCCCTGCGGCAGTTGGCCCCGCCCTGCGGCGGCTAGCCCCGCCCTGCGGCGGTTGGCCCCGCCCTGCGGCGGTTGGCCCCGCCCTGCGGCGCTTGGCCCCGCCCTGCGGCGGTTGGCCCCGCCCTGCGGCGGTTGGCCCCGCCCTGCGGCGCTTGGCCCCGCCCTGCGGCGGTTGGCCCCGCCCTGCGGCGGTTGGCCCCGCCCTGCGGCGCTTGGCCCCGCCCTGCGGCGCTTAGCCCCGCGTAGCGCAAGAACCCAACCACGAGCCGAGTTCGATTCCCACTCACGGCCACTGACAACACCGGTGGTGACGATTATTTGAACCCCTAGGTCGACTCGGCCTCAATGAGCGACTCGTTGCGGTGTGCAGTGAACGTCACCGCCGGAGAGACAAAGGCGGCCGGGCGTGGCGCTGAACACCCCCCTCCCCCCCCCCCTTCTGTGTGCACCACAGCGCCGGCCTTCGTAGGCGCTCGCTAACGGCGCTCGCCCCTACTAGTCGGGGATTTCGGTGCGAGTGTGTGGGTGAGCGATGGTGACGGGCACCGGCTCCCGGTGAGGGTCCCCGCACCGTGCCTCGCGGACGTCGCCGACCCCCGGTGTTTACGGCTCGGGGCTCCCGCCGTGGGCTAATAAGGCCGTGTCACGGTGTCACCACCATCTAGGGTGGGCGGCTGGGCGGGTGGGTGGGTGCTGGCCACCCACCCCCTGGTGTGCCGTGCCGGCCTTCATAGGTGCTACTCGCTAACAGTACTTGCCCCAACGGTCTGTGAAGGCTACATGGGGAATCTTTGTGTTTGTGCTAGGGTAAGCAGCTGGGCGGGTGTATCTGTGAGTCTGTGGGTCTCTGTGTGAGTCTGTGGGTCTCTGTGTGAGTCTGTGGGTCTCTGTGTGAGTCTGTGGGTCTTTGTGTGAGTCTGTGGGTCTTTGTGTGAGTGTGTGGGTCTCTGTGTGAGTGGGTCTCTGTGTGAGTCTGTGGGTCTCTGTGTGGGTCTGTGGGTCTCTGTGTGAGTGTGTGGGTCTCTGTGCGAGTCTATGGGTCTCTGTGCGACTCTGTGGGTCTCTGTGCGAGTCTGTGGGTCTCTGTGCGAGTCTGTGGGTCTCTGTGCGAGTGTGTGGGTCTCTGTGTGAGTCTGTGGGTCTCTGTGTGAGTCTGTGGGTCTCTGTGAGAGTCTGTGGGTCTCTGTTTGAGTCTGTGGGTCTCTGTGCGAGTCTGTGGGTCTCTGTGTGAGTCTGTGGATCTCTGTGAGAGTCTGTGGGTCTCTGTGTGAGTCTGTGGGTCTCTGTGTAGGTCTTTGTGTGAGCCTGTGGGTCTCTGTGTGAGTCTGCGGGTCTCTGTGTGAGTCTATGGGTCTCTGTGTGAGTCTGTGGGATTTTGTGTGAATCTATGGGTCTCTGTGTGAGTCTGTGGGTCTCTGTGTGAGTCTGTGGGTCTCTGTGTGAGTCTGTGGGTCTCTGTGTGAGTCTGTGGGTCTCTGTGTGAGTGTGTGGGTCTTTGTGTGAGTCTGTGGGTCTCTATTAGAGTCTGTGGGTCTCTGTGTGAGTCTGTGGGTCTCTGTGTGAGTCTGTGAGTCTCTGTGTGGGTCTCTGTGTGGGTCTCTGTGTGAGTCTTTGGATCTCTATTAGAGTCTGTGGGTCTCTGTGTGAGTCTGTGGGTCTTTGTGTGGGTCTCTGTGTGGGTCTCTATGTGAGTCTGTGGGTCTCTGCGTGAGTCTGTGGGTCTCTGTGTGCGTCTGTGGGTCTCTTTGTGAGTCTGTGGGTCTCTGTGTGAGTCTGTGGGTCTCTATTAGAGTCTGTGGGTCTCTGTGTGAGTCTGTGGGTCTCAGTGTGAGTCTGTCGGTCTCTATTAGAGTCTGTGGGTCTCTGTGTGAGTCTGTGGGTCTCTGTGTGGGTCTCTGTGTGGGTCTCTGTGTGAGTCTGTGGGTCTCTGTGTGGGTCTGTGGGTCTCTGTGTGAGCCTGTGGGCCTCTGTGTGAGTCTGTGGGTCTCTATGTGAGTCTGTGGGTCTCTGTGTGAGTCTGTGGGTCTCTGTGTGAGTGTGTGGATCTGTGGGTCTCTGTGTGAGTCTCTGTGCGAGTCTGTGGGTCTCTGTGTGAGTCTGTGGGTCTCTGTGTGGGTCTCTGTGTGAGTCTGTGGGTCTCTGTGTGGGTCTGTGGGTCTCTTTTAGAGTCTGTGGGTCTCTGTGTGAGTCTCTGTGTGAGTCTGTGGGTCTCTGTGTGAGTCTTTGGGTCTCTGTGTGAGTCTGTGGGTCTCTGTGAGAGTCTGTGGGTCTCTGTGTGGGTCTCTGTGTGAGTCTGTGGGTCTCTGTGTGGGTCTGTGGGTCTCTATTAGAGTCTGTGGATCTCTGTGTGAGTGTGTGGGTCTCTGTGTGAGTCTGTGGGTCTCTGTGTGGATCTCTATTAGAGTCTGTGGGCCTCTGTGTGGGTCTGTGGGTCTCTATTAGAGTCTGTGGATCTCTGTGTGAGTGTGTGGGTCTCTGTGTGAGTCTGTGGGTCTCTGTGTGGGTCTCTATTAGAGTCTGTGGGCCTCTGTGTGGGTCTGTGGGTCTCTATTAGAGTCTGTGGGTCTCTGTGTGAGTGTGTGGGTCTCTGTGTGAGTCTGTGGGTCTCTGTGTGGGTCTCTATTAGAGTCTGTGGGCCTCTGTGTGGGTCTGTGGGTCTCTATTAGAGTCTGTGGGTCTCTATGTGAGTCTGTGGGTCTCTATGTGAGTCTGTGGGTCTCTGTGTGGGTCTCTATGTGAGTCTCTGTGTGGGTCTCTATGTGAGTCTGTGGGTCTCTGTGTGGGTCTCTGTGTGGGTCTCTGTGTGGGTCTCTGTGTGAGTCTGTGGGTCTCTATGTGAGTCTGTGGGTCTCTATGTGAGTCTGTGGGTCTCTATGTGAGTCTGTGGGTCTCTGTGAGAGTCTGTGGGTCTCTATGTGAGTCTGTGGGTCTCTATGTGAGTCTGTGGGTCTCTATGTGAGTCTGTGGGTCTCTATGTGAGTCTGTGGGTCTCTATGTGAGTCTGTGGGTCTCTGTGGATCTCGGCGATGCCCGCTTGTGGTCTCCGACACGGCCACTGTCAACAAAACCTCCGGTTTACCTCGCCAGCTGAACTCTTGCGATTGTGACCCTTGACCCCCCCCCCCCCAGCAGAGTGTGAGCAGGACCGAAACCTCCCCCTCCTCTTGCCTGTGACCCGGTGGGTGACCTGGTGGGTGACCCGGTGGGTGACCTGGTGGGTGACCTGGTGGGTGACCCGGTGGGTGACCTGGTGGGTGACCTGGTGGGTGACCTGGTGGGTGACCTGGTGGGTGACCCGGTGGGTGACCTGGTGATCTCTGCTATTTGCCATGGACGATACGGAGATGGACCTGGTGAGATGGTGCAGCCGGGCGTTGGCTCACTCGCTCAGTCACTCGCTCGCTCAGTCACTCACTCAATGAGTCGCTCGCTCAGTCACTCGCTCGCTCAGTCACTCGCTCGCTCAGTCACTCGCTCGCTCAGTCACTCGCTCGCTCGCTCACTCATTCACTCGTTCACTCGCTCACTCACTGGGTCGCTCGCTCAGTCACTCACTCGCTCGCTCACTCATTCACTCGTTCACTCACTCACTAAGTCGCTCGCTCACTCACTCACTCACTGAGTCGCTCGCTCAGTCACTCACTCGCTCGCTCAGTCGCTCGCTCGCTCACTCATTCACTCGTTCACTCGCTCGCTCAATTACTCGCTCACTCAGTCAGTCGCTCACTCGCTCATTCACTCACTCACTCACTCAATGAGTTGCTCGCTCAGTCACTCACTTGCTCGCTCAGTCACTCGGTCGCTCGCTCACTCATCCACTCGTTCACTCACGGAGTCGTTCGCTCAGTCACTCACTCGCTCGCTAAGTCACTAGCTCACTTGCTCACTCGCTCACTCACTGAGTCGCTCGCTCAGTCACTCACTCGCCCGCTCACTCATTCACTCGTTCACTCGCTCACTAAGTGGCTCACTCAGTCACTCACTCACTAAGTCGCTCGCTCACTCACTCACTCACTGAGTCGCTCGCTCAGTCACTCACTCGCTCGCTCAGTCACTCGCTCGCTCACTCACTCATTCACTCAGTCACTCACTTGCTCGCTCAGTCACTTGCTCGCTCGCTCACTCATTCACTCACTCACTAAGTCGCTCACTCAGTCACTCACTCGCTCGCTCAGTCAGTCGCTCACTCACTCATTCACTCACTCACTGAGTCGCTCGCTCAGTCACTCACTCGCTCACTCAGTCACTCACTCGCTCATTCACTCGTTCACTCAGTCACTCAGTTGCTCACTCAGTCACTAGCTCACTCGCTCACTCGCTCACTCACTGAGTCGCTCGCTCGCTCACTCACTCGCTCATTCACTCGTTAAGTCGCTCATTTACTCACTCAGTCACTCACTCAGTCACTCACTCACTAAGTCGCTCGCTCAGTATGGTGGTGGTGATGATTGTGGTGGTGGTGATGATGGTAGTGATGATGGTGGTGGTGATGGTGGTGGTGATGGTGGTGATGCTGATGGTGGTGGTGATGATGGTGGTGATGATGGTGGTGGTGATGATGATGGTGATGATGGTGGTGGTGATGATGGTGGTGGTGGTGGTGGTGATGATGGTGGTGATGATGGTGGTGATGATGATGATGGTGGTGGTGATGATGGTGGTGGTGATGATGGTGGTGGTGATGATGGTGGTGGTGATGATGGTGGTGATGACGGTGGTGGTGATGGTGGTAGTGATGATGGTGGTAGTGATGATGGTGGTGGTGGTGATGATGGTGGTGGTGGTGGTGATGGTGGTGGTGATGATGGTGGTGGTGGGGATGGAGGTGGTGATGATGGTGGTGATGATGATGGTGGTGATGATGGTGGTGGTGATGATGGTGGTGGTGATGATGGTGGTGGTGATGGTGGTGGTGATGATGGTGGTGGTGATGATGGTGGTGGTGGTGGTGGTGATGGCGGTGGTGGTGATGATGGTGGTGGTGATGGTGGTGGTGGTGATGATGGTGATGATGGTGGTGATGGCGGTGGTGGTGATGATGGTGGTGATGGCGGTGGTGGTGATGATGATGGTGGTGATGATGATGATGGTGGTGGTTGTGGTGGTGGTGGTGATGATGGTGGTGGTGATGATGATGGTGGTTGTGGTGATGGTGGTGATGGCGATGATGGTGGTGATGGCGGTGGTGGTGATGATGGTGATGGTGGTGGTGGTGGTGATGATGGTGATGGTGGTGGTGGTGATGGTGGTGGTGGTGATGGTGGTGGTGATGATGGTGGTGATGATGGTGGTGGTGATGATGGTGGTGATGATGGTGGTGGTGATGATGGTGGTGATGATGGTGGTGATGATGGTGGTGATGATGGTGGTGGTGATGATGATGATGGTGGTGATGACGGTGGTGGTGATGGTGGTAGTGATGATGGTGGTAGTGATGATGGTGGTGGTGGTGATGATGGTGGTGGTGATGGTGGTGGTGATGATGGTGGTGGTGGGGATGGTGGTGGTGATGATGATGATGGTGGTGGTGATGATGGTGGTGGTGATGATGGTGGTGGTGATGATGGTGGTGATGACGGTGGTGGTGATGGTGGTAGTGATGATGGTGGTAGTGATGATGGTGGTGGTGGTGATGATGGTGGTGGTGATGGTGATGATGGTGGTGGTGGGGATGGTGGTGGTGATGATGGTGGTGATGATGGTGGTGGAGATGATGGTGGTGGTGGTGATGATGGTGGTGATGATGATGGTGGTGATGATGGTGGTGGTGATGATGATGGTGGTGGTGATGATGGTGGTGGTGATGGTGGTGGTGATGATGGTGGTGGTGATGATGGTGGTGGTGGTGGTGGTGATGGTGGTGATGGTGATGATGATGGTGGTGGTGGTGGTGGTGATGATGGTGGTGATGGTGGTGATGATGGTGGTGGTGATGGTGGTGGTGATGGTGGTGATGATGGTGGTGGTGGTGGTGATGGTGGTGGTGGTGATGATGGTGGTGATGGCGGTGGTGGTGATGATGGTGATGATGGTGGTGGTGGTGGTGATGATGATGGTGGTGGGGATGGTGGTGGTGATGATGATGGTAGTGATGATGGTGGTGGTGATGATGGTGGTGATGATGGTGGTGGTGATGATGGTGGTGGTGGTGGTGATGATGGTGATGATGATGATGGTGGTGATGATGGTGGTGATGATGGTGGTGGTGATGATGGTGGTGATGATGGTGGTGATGATGGTGGTGGTGATGATGGTAGTGATGATGGTGGTGGTGGTGATGATGGTGGTGGTGGTGGTGATGATGGTGGTGGTGGTGGTGATGATGGTGGTGGTGGTGATGACGGTGGTGGTAATGATGGTAGTGATGATGGTGGTAGTGATAATGGTGGTGGTGATGATGGTGGTGGTGGTGATGATGGTGGTGGTGATGATGGTGGTGGTGATGATGGTGGTGGTGATGATGGTGGTGGTGATGATGATGGTGGTGATGATGGTGGTGGTGATGATGGTGGTGGTGATGATGGTGGTGGTGATGATGGTGGTGGTGATGATGGTGGTGGTGGTGATGATGGTGGTGGTGATGATGTTGGTGGTGGTGATGATGATGGTGGTGGTGATGATGGTGGTGATGGTGATGATGGTGGTGGTGATGATGGTGGTGCTGATGATGGTGGTGGTGATGATGGTGGTGGTGATGGTGGTGGTGGTGATGATGGTGGTGGTGATGATGGCGGTTGTGGTGATGATGATGGTGGTGGTGGTGATGGTGATGGTGGTGGTGGTGGTGATGATGATGGTGGTGTTGGTGATGGTGGTGGTGATGATGGTGGTGATGATGATGGTGGTGATGATGGTGGTGGTGATGGTGATGATGGTGGTGATGATGGTGGTGGTGATGATGGTGGTGGTGATGATGGTGGTGGTGGTGGTGGTGATGATGGTTGTGGTGATGATGGTGGTGGTGATGATGATGGTGGTGATGATGATGGTGGTGGTGGTGGTGGTGATGATGGTGGTGGTGGTGGTGATGATGATGGTGGTGGTGGTGGTGGTGATGATGGTGGTGGTGGTGATGATGATGGTGGTGGTGGTGGTGATGATGGTGGTGGTGGTGATGATGGTGGTGGTGGTGGTGGTGATGATGGTGATGGTGGTGGTGATGATGGTGATGGTGGTGATGATGGTGGTGGTGGTGGTGATGATGGTGGTGGTGATGATGGTGGTGGTGGTGATGATGGTGATGGTTGTGGTGATGATTGTGGTGGTGGTGATGATGGTGGTGGTGGTGGTGGTGTAGATGGTGGTGATGATGGTGGTGGTGGTGGTGATGATGGTGGTGGTGGTGGTGATGATGGTGGTGGTGGTGATGATGATGGTGGTGGTGGTGGTGATGATGGTGGTGGTGGTGATGATGGTGGTGATGATGGTGGTGGTGATGATGGTTTTGGTGATTGTGATGATGGTGGTGGTGATGGTGATGATGGTGGTGGTGGTGATGGTGGTGGTGGTGATGATGGTGGTGGTGATGGTGGTGGTGGTGGTGGTGATGATGGTGGTGGTGGTGGTGATGATTGTGGTGGTGGTGGTGGTGGTGGTGATGGTGGTGGTGATGATGATGGTGGTGGTGATGATGATGGTGGTGGTGATGGTGGTGGTGGTGGTGGTGATGGTGGTGGTGATGGTGGTGGTGGTGGTGATGATGGTGATGGTGGTGGTGATGGTGGTGGTGGTGGTGGTGATGGTGGTGGTGGTGGTGATGACGGTGGTGGTGATGATGATGGTGATGATGGTGGTGGTGGTGATGGTGGTGGTGGTGATGGTCGTGGTGGTGGTGGTGGTGATGGTCGTGGTGGTGGTGATGATGGTGGTGGTGGTGATGGTGATGATGGTGGTGGTGGTGATGGTGATGATGGTGGTGGTGATGGTGATGATGGTGGTGGTGATGGTGATGGTGATGATGGTGGTGATGATGGTGGTGATGATGGTGGTGGTGGTGGTGATGGTGATGATGGTGGTGATGATGGTGATGGTGATGATGGTGATGATGGTGATGATGGTGGTGGTGGTGGTGATGGTGATGATGATGGTGATGATGGTGGTGGTGATGGTGGTGGTGGTGGTGATGGTGGTGGTGGTGATGGTGGTGATGATGGTGATGATGGTGGTGGTGGTGGTGATGGTGATGATGATGGTGATGATGGTGGTGGTGATGGTGGTGATGGTGATGGTGGTGGTGATGGTGGTGGTGGTGGTGCTGACCACCCACCCCTTCGTGCGCCGTGCCGGCCTTCATACTGCTACCGCTGCTCGCTACTAAGAGCCCTTGCCGCTACATCACGTGTGGGCCACACGGGGGACCTTTGTCTGTGTCTCTGTAGACGTTCGGGGGCTGCTCCACGGGTCCACAGAAGATCATGGGGCCTGAAGATGACGAATTCCTCTCTGACGAGGAGCAGGTGGGGGGCACGGGGGGGCACGCACAGACACGCACGCACAGATACGCACGCACAGACACACACAGACACGCACGCACAGACACGCACAGACACGCACGCACAGACACACGCACAGACACGTACAGACATGCACGCACAGACACACGCACAGACACACGCACAGACACGTGCAGACACGTACGCACAGACACGCACGCACAGACATGCACGCACAGACACGCACGCATGGTCACACACCCGTGTCTCTCTCCCCCCGTGTCTCTCCCCCCGTGTCTCTCTCCCCCCGTGTCTCTCCCCCCGTGTCTCTCCCCCCGTGTCTCTCTCCCCCCGTGTCTCTCCCCCCGTGTCTCTCTCCCCCCGTGTCTCTCCCCCCGTGTCTCTCTCCCCCCGTGTCTCTCCCCCCGTGTCTCTCTCCCCCCGTGTCTCTCCCCCCGTGTCTCTCTCCCCCCGTGTCTCTCCCCCCGTGTCTCTCTCCCCCCGTGTCTCTCTCCCCGTGTCTCTCTCCCCGTGTCTCTCCCCCCGTGTCTCTCACCCCGTGTCTCTCTCCCCCCGTGTCTCTCTCACCGTGTCTCTCTCCCCGTGTCTCTCCCCCCGTGTCTCTCTCCCCCGTGTCTCGCCCCCCGTGTCTCTCACCCCGTGTCTCTCACCCCGTGTCTCTCCCCCCGCGTCTCTACCCCCGTGTCTCTCACCCCGTGTCTCTGACTCACCCCGTGTCTCTCTCCCCGTCTCTCTCTCCCCCCGTGTCTCTCTCCCCGTGTCTCTCTCCCCGTGTCTCTCCCCCCGTGTCTCTCTCCCCCGTGTTTCGCCCCCCGTGTCTCTCACCCGTGTCTCTCACCCCGTGTCTCTCCCCCCGCGTCTCGACCCCCGTGTCTCTCACCCCGTGTCTCTGTCTCACCCCGTGTCTCTCCCCGTGTCTTTCCCCCCGTGTCTCTCCCCCCGTGTCTCTCTACCCCGTGTCTCTCACCCCGTGTCTCTCTCCCCGTGTCTCTCCCCCCGTGTCTCTCTCCCCGTGTCTCTCTCCCCGTGTCTCTCCCCCCGTGTCTCTCCCCCCATGTCTCTCACCCCGTGTCTCTCTCCCCGTGTCTCACCCCCCGTGTCTCTCACCCCGTGTATCTGTCTCACCCTGTGTCCCTGTCTCACCCCGTGTCTCTCTCCCTGTGTCTCTCCCGTGTGTCTCTCCCCGTGTCTCTGTCTCACCCCGTGTCTCTCTCCCCATGTCTCTCCCCGTGTCTCTCCCCCCGTGTCTCTCCCTGTGTCTCTCCCCCGTGTCTCTCCCTGTGTCTCTCTCCCCCCGTGTCTCTCTCTCCCCCCGTGTCTCTCTCCCCGTGTCTCTCTCCCCCCGTCTCTCCCCCCGTGTCTCTCTCCCCCGTGTCTCTCCCTGTGTCTCTCTCCCCCCGTGTCTCTCTCTCCGTGTCTCTCTCCCCGTGTCTCTCCCCCCGTGTCTCTCTCCCCCGTGTCTCGCCCCCCGTGTCTCTCACCCCGTGTCTCTCACCCCGTGTCTCTCCCCCCGCGTCTCTACCCCCGTGTCTCTCACCCCGTGTCTCTGACTCACCCCGTGTCTCTCTCCCCGTCTCTCTCTCCCCCCGTGTCTCTCTCCCCGTGTCTCTCTCCCCGTGTCTCTCCCCCCGTGTCTCTCTCCCCCGTGTTTCGCCCCCCGTGTCTCTCACCCGTGTCTCTCACCCCGTGTCTCTCCCCCCGCGTCTCTACCCCCGTGTCTCTCACCCCGTGTCTCTGTCTCACCCCGTGTCTCTCCCCGTGTCTTTCCCCCCGTGTCTCTCCCCCCGTGTCTCTCTACCCCGTGTCTCTCACCCTGTGTCTCTCTCCCCGTGTCTCTCCCCCCGTGTCTCTCTCCCCGTGTCTCTCTCCCCGTGTCTCTCCCCCCGTGTCTCTCCCCCCATGTCTCTCACCCCGTGTCTCTCTCCCCGTGTCTCTCCCCCCGTGTCTCTCACCCCGTGTATCTGTCTCACCCTGTGTCCCTGTCTCACCCCGTGTCTCTCTCCCTGTGTCTCTCCCGTGTGTCTCTCCCCGTGTCTCTGTCTCACCCCGTGTCTCTCTCCCCATGTCTTTCCCCGTGTCTCTCCCCCCGTGTCTCTCCCTGTGTCTCTCCCCCGTGTCTCTCCCTGTGTCTCTCTCCCCCCGTGTCTCTCTCTCCCCCCGTGTCTCTCTCCCCGTGTCTCTCTCCCCCCGTCTCTCTCCCCGTGTCTCTCTCCCCCGTGTCTCTCCCTGTGTCTCTCTCCCCCCGTGTCTCTCTCCCCGTGTCTCTCTCCCCCCGTGTCTCTCTCCCCCCGTGTCTCTGTCTGCCAGAGTGATGACCACGGCCCCTTCTCTGACCTGGACCAGCTCCGTAGCCGCCCTGCTCACATGGCCGTGTTCCTGCAGTACGTGCTGTCCCAGCTGGAGCCCGCTGCCCTGGTGAGCACCACTCACCACCAACACTCACCAACACTCACCACCAACACTCACCACCAACACTCACCACTCACCACCAACACTCACCAACACTCACCACCAACACTCACCAACACTCACCACCAACACTCACCACTCACCACCACCACGTGCTGTCCCAGCTGGAGCCCGCTGCCCTGGTGAGCACCACTCACCACCAACACTCACCAACACTCACCACTCACCAACACTCACCAACACTAACCACCAACACTCACCACCACTCACCAACACTCATCACCAACACTCACCACTCACCAACACTCACCACCACCACGTGCTGTCCCAGCTGGAGCCCGCTGCCCTGGTGAGCACCACTCACCACCAACACTCACCACCAACACTCACCACTCACCAACACTCACCACTCACCACCACCACGTGCTGTCCCAGCTGGAGCCCGCTGCCCTGGTGAGAACCACTCACCACCAACACTCACCAACACTCACCACCACCACTCACCAACACTCACCACCAACACTCACCACCACCACTCACCAACACTCATCACCAACACTCACCACTCACCAACACTCACCACCACCACGTGCTGTCCCAGCTAGAGCCCGCTGCCCTGGTGAGAACCACTCACCACCAACACTCACCAACACTCACCACCAACACTCACCACTCACCAACACTCACCAACACTCACCAACACTCACCACTCACCACCACCACGTGCTGTCCCAGCTGGAGCCCGCTGCCCTGGTGAGCACCACTCACCACCAACACTCACCACCACCAACACTCACCACCAACACTCACCACCACCACTCACCAACACTCATCACCAACACTCACCACTCACCAACACTCACCAACACTCACCACCACCACGTGCTGTCCCAGCTGGAGCCCGCTGCCCTGGTGAGCACCACTCACCACCAACACTCACCAACACTCACCACCAACACTCACCACTCACCAACACTCACCAACACTCACCACCACCACGTGCTGTCCCAGCTGGAGCCCGCTGCCCTGGTGAGCACCACTCACCACCAACACTCACCACCAACACTCACCACCAACACTCACCACCACCACTCACCAACACTCATCACCAACACTCACCACTCACCAACACTCACCAACACTCACCACCACCACGTGCTGTCTCAGCTGGAGCCCGCTGCCCTGGTGAGCACCACTCACCACCAACACTCACCACCAACACTCACCACCACCACTCACCAACACTCATCACCAACACTCACCACTCACCAACACTCACCAACACTCACCACCACCACGTGCTGTCCCAGCTGGAGCCCGCTGCCCTGGTGAGCACCACTCACCACCAACACTCAACAACACTCACCACCAACACTCACCAACACTCACCAACACTCACCACTCACCACCAACACTCACCACCAACACTCACCAACACTCACCAACACTCACCACTCACCACCAACACTCACCAACACTCACCAACACTCACCACCACCACCACCACCACTCACCACCACCACTCACCACCACTCACCACCAACACTCACCACTCACCACCAACACTCACCACCAACACTCACCAACACTCACCACTCACCACCAACACTCACCACCAACACTCACCACTCACCAACACTCACCACCAACACTCACCAACACTCACCACCACCACCACCACTCACCACCACTCACCACCACCACTCACCACCACTCACCACCACTCACCACTCACCACCAACACTCACCAACACTCACCAACACTCACCACCATCACTCACCACTAACCACCACCACTCACCACCACTCACCAACACTCACCACCACTCACCACCAACACTCACCACTCACCACCAACACTCAACAACACTCACCACCAACACTCACCAACACTCACCAACACTCACCACCACCACTCACCACCAACACTCACCACTCACCACTCACCACCAACACTCGCCAACACTCACCAACACTCACCAACACTCACCACCACCACTCACCACCACTCACCAACACTCACCACTCACCAACACTCACCACCAACACTCACCAACACTCACCACCAACACTCACCAACACTCACCAACACTCACCACCACCACTCACCAACACTCACCAACACTCACCACCACTCACCAACACTCACCACCAACACTCACCAACACTCACCAACACTCACCACTCACCAACACTCACCACCAACACTCACCAACACTCACCGCTCACCACCACTCACCACCATCACTCACCAACACTCACCAACACTCACCACTCACCACCACTCACCACCATCACTCACCAACACTCACCAACACTCACCACTCACCACCACGTGCTGTCCCAGCTGGAGCCCGCTGCCCTGGTGAGCACCACTCACCACCAACACTCACCACCACCAACACTCACCACCAACACTCACCACCACCACTCACCAACACTCATCACCAACACTCACCACTCACCAACACTCACCAACACTCACCACCACCACGTGCTGTCCCAGCTGGAGCCCGCTGCCCTGGTGAGCACCACTCACCACCAACACTCACCAACACTCACCACCAACACTCACCACTCACCAACACTCACCAACACTCACCACCACCACGTGCTGTCCCAGCTGGAGCCCGCTGCCCTGGTGAGCACCACTCACCACCAACACTCACCACCAACACTCACCACCACCACTCACCAACACTCATCACCAACACTCACCACTCACCAACACTCACCAACACTCACCACCACCACGTGCTGTCTCAGCTGGAGCCCGCTGCCCTGGTGAGCACCACTCACCACCAACACTCAACAACACTCACCACCAACACTCACCAACACTCACCAACACTCACCACTCACCACCAACACTCACCACCAACACTCACCAACACTCACCAACACTCACCACTCACCACCAACACTCACCAACACTCACCAACACTCACCACCACCACCACCACCACTCACTACCACCACTCACCACCACTCACCACCAACACTCACCACTCACCACCAACACTCACCACCAACACTCACCAACACTCACCACTCACCACCAACACTCACCACCAACACTCACCACTCACCAACACTCACCACCAACACTCACCAACACTCACCACCACCACTCACCACCACTCACCACCACCACTCACCACCACTCACCACCACTCACCACTCACCACCAACACTCACCAACACTCACCAACACTCACCACCATCACTCACCACTAACCACCACCACTCACCAACACTCACCACCACTCACCACCAACACTCACCACTCACCACCAACACTCAACAACACTCACCACCAACACTCACCAACACTCACCAACACTCACCACCACCACTCACCACCAACACTCACCACTCACCACTCACCGCCAACACTCACCAACACTCACCAACACTCACCACCACCACTCACCACCACTCACCAACACTCACCACTCACCAACACTCACCACCAACACTCACCAACACTCACCACCAACACTCACCAA